GCGATAAACGAGGGTTCACTGTATGTCATATTCTGGGTACGACTCTGTACTAAGTTCTTTATCAGCATTGATATCACTTGATCAGCACAAAGGATTCTGAGCAATAGCCATAGCTCCATTTTACAGAGTGTATTAGAGCTTCAATTCTGAGCACCTCAATTTGCAAAGGACTATGGATGGCAGTGACAGCCCAAAGTTCACTTGCAGGATCCCCACATAGATTAAGCCCCAGTGAATTCTTTCAGATCAGACACCAAGGATGTAGTAATGTTGCCCTCAGGAAGAATGCATTGAAAGTAGAGAGCCTCCATGCCTCTCCTGCCACTGCAGGGAGGGGCAGTCTCTCTCTTAGGGGTTGGCCTGGATGGAGGTCACCGTACTTGGGACAGGACTGGGGGTCATATAGTCCAGTGATGCCCTGTTAGTCACACCCTGACCACCTTGGTGGGAAGGCCTCGACTTCTAACAATGTGTGTCCCCATCATAGCCCGGTTCCTGCTTCTATAGTCCATCTGTATCTGTGATGTATTGCTCTGCCACCAATCATGAACTTTTGACAGTTCCCTTTGTTCTTTGCCCAATTTATATGGTGCCTTACCTTGAAGCCCCCACACTGTTTTGACCTCATATTATGACCTCCCTCATCCATATGTATTGTTTTCGTCTATTATAAGACTTAAGTAAATATTTTCCCTAAATTATATTTGAGATGGGGTCTTTTGTGAACCTTAAAACAAGAGTAAACAAAGTAAGCATTCTCCCCCAGCCTACTGAGGAGAAAGTAGTAGAGCTGGGATTCTAACCTCCAACCAAAGACCCCTGGACCTCTTTGGCTACAGCTGCCACTGGGAATATCTGCGTCCTGTCACGTGGGCAAGGAGGCTTGCAAGATTCAAGGCTCCCAGGACAGCGCTGAGAAGCCTCATGTTATGAATATGGCCTTCCCCACTGTCACGGACCCCGTGAAATTCTGGAGCTTGGTTTCTGCTGCTTTCTTGCAGTTCTCTAACACAGTTTTAAAACCTGCCCTCTTTTAATGCAAACTGATTTATGAAAAAAGGGGACTAGGCTATTGCTCTAACTAAGCCAAAAAAATCTCCCCCAAAACAAACAACAACAACAAAAGCTACCTCACATTGCCACTGAGCAGAAGGCAGGGTATAGAACTGTCCCTGTGAGTTTCCCAGACTGTGGCTGTTTAGGGTAGTAAAAGGCTGGCCAGCAAGGCTGATGATTTTGTACTGCTGCGCTTGCAGTTAGCAAAATGATCCACCTTCTAACTCTCACTGCTATCAAGTCAATGTTGATTTATAGCCACCCCCCCTGTGGGTTTCCAAGACTGTAACTATTTACTGAAGCAGTAAGCCTATTTCGAACAGCCAACCATAAGGTTCACAGCCCAACTCATAACTACTACACTGCCAGGGCTCCTTAACTTTCTAACTGAGCTAACAAGTCAGTAGAAAAATTAGAGGGAAGCAAAGTCTATTATGTGCAAAGTAACATTTATAGTGAGTTTTTCATTGATTTCAATATCTTCACTGTGTTTTATTTTTTAAAATTCCTGGCGGGACCGGGTTTGTGGTGAGGTGGCGGTGGCTCAGCAGGTAGGTTCAGGCTTTGGGGGGCCAGTGGCCGCCATGATCCAGCTGGAGGTGAACAACCACATCATCGAAGAGATGCTTGTGCTTAAGTTCAAGAACACGGCCACCTGAAACAAACCAGAAGCTGTAGAAGTAACCTTTGCAGATTTCGATGGGGTCCTCTATCATATTCCAAATCCTAATGGAGACAAAACAAAGGTGATGGTCAGTATTTCTTTGAAGTTCTACAAGGAATTTCAGGCACATGGTGCTGATGAGGTACTAAAAAGAGGGTGTATGGAAGTTTCTTGGTAAATCCAGAATCAGGTTACAATATCTTTGTTATATGACCTTGAAAATCTGCCCGCCTCCAAGGACTCCATCGTACATCAGGCTGGCAGGTTGAAATAGCCTCTGTCTTTGAGAAA